TAGGTCACCATAGTTGTGGTGTCTTCATCTCACAAGTACTGAGACAAAAGTACATCTCAAACAGCTTCTCAGACAAGCCCCCAGAGTCCCTACACAGAAGGAACATGGAGAAACTGAATTGCTTGGAAGCAACACCATACAAACTGACTTTTATAGCTGGCTACATAAAAGCATCAGGCTGCCCAATGAAGATTCCTTGAAAAAACATTATACCAAAACAAACAAACAAACAAACAAAAAAATAGTCCTTACACTGCACTTTTGCAAGCTTCTCTCTGAAACAAATCCGATCTAACACTGAAATATGCTGTAATCTCTTCCTTGCTCCAGTATATTATACAAAACCTGAGCTCTGGCTGATAACATTTGCTTTGAAAGAGCTGGACAGCACAGGTACACCTTGCTGGCCTGTCTGCAGCTCAGACTGTCCTCAGGCTTCCCTAAGGGAAGTATCAGGCTTCTTGTCTTGAGGATTATTCTGAGAGGAAGACTACTTACTGCTATTGTGGACCAGTTTTCACTCCCTACCCCTAAAACACTGACAAGAGCAAAGCAGGAATTACTCTCTAGCACACTCCCTCTATCACCCCACTGGGAAGGATCATGGCTGGAGGCAGGATGAGTCCCCCGGTTTGACCGTCTTTGAGGAAAGGGTCTGCACGAGTTGGACAATTTTGGGAACCCAGAGTGTAGGGCAATACCCTGTGGGGCGATTTATGCCTAATCTCTTCCCCTTACATGTGCCTTTTACAGGAACCCCTTTGATTGCAACAATGGGAACGCAGCAGACCTATTTGTGCGGTGCAAATGGAAGAAGCCCCCTTGTTGGGCAGCTTCCCTACACCCGGCTCTCCTTTGTTTCTGCTGCTGTCTCAGCCCCAGGGCGGGAGGGTTTTCAACTGTGTTGACTAAGATAATTTGGCACTTCTCAAAAGGGAATTTGCTACAAAGGGCGAAGTACCTCCCTGCGCACAAAGAGCCCCTTTCAGAGCGGAAGGATGCTTCAGTGAACGTTTTGTACCCACAAATCCGACCTCCGCCAAGGACAAAGCCAGGGACAAGAACGCTTAATTGCTGAAGAAATGAAAAGGTAAAAAGCACATCCTCAGGCAGAATGACTCTGCTACTGACACAGGCCGCAGTGGCGGCGGGGATGCGGCGGCGCAGCGCCCGCTCGGAGCGCAGCTGGGCTCTGCGGGCAGGCGCTCCCCGCAGGGCGCGCACGGGGACACGGCTGCAGACCCGCAGCAGGGCGAGGCCGCCGGGCAAACCGAGATGCTCTCCGGGGCCACAGCCCCAGAGGAGTGACCACGGAGCAAGAGCTGGCCGGAGGCACAGGGCAGGCCCCTGCACACCTCTGTGCCTGTGCAGCCCAGTGGTCTCCCCAAACCAATGTGTCTAGGCTAAATTAGGGCTCTCAAATGACAGGGCTACCCCGACTTACAGCCTCCTGACAAGCTCCACTCAAGCCCAGCCGAGATTTCTTTCCCTTTAACACTTTTTAAATCTAGTACAGCCACACCACATCACCTTGGAGCTCCTTCACCCTCTGTCTCTGGCCAGGCATCACATCACTGCTACACAATAAATTCTTAAATGATTCTTAATCAGGTGTAGACCTTCAGTTTTACAAGTAGCTTCCCATGGCTTTTCTCACTGCCTGGTTTAGCCAGTAAACAATGTGTAGTGTTGTTACTTGTTTCCTTATTTCTCAGGGGCCAGGAGCCAGTCGTATCAGGTGCTGCACAAACCCACTGATTTGCAGCCAACTCAGCCTTTATGCTGTGCTTGATATTTCTTTTGTTGCCTTCCTTTATCTCTTATCGCAGATGCCAGATTTGCTTTGCCTACAGCCTCAGACCAGGGGAAATCCAACAGCAAGTTCCAGCCTGGATCTGCCCCCTGTCCCAGCCCTGCAGTAACATTTGGGGAGTTTGCTGAGGCTGCTCTCGGGCTCCGCTCTCAAGAGCGGTTCCCTCCTGCAAAAGAGCACCCACCAAGCCCACCAGGCTGGACTGGGGGCCCGGACCCTCCAGAAAACACTGCTGGCTCGCTCCGCCTCACCCCCCTGGCTGCTCCACCACGCCCATCACCATTCCCGCCGGCACGGTTATTCCTGTGCACAGCTATTGAAACTCTTGTGTCAGTTCACACAGATTTAATCACTGTGAACATTTACATTTGTCACAGTTTGGAAAGAAAAAAACAAAAAACCAAAAAAACAAAACTGCCTTTCAACTTTTCCATCCTGCCTTTTCAACTTCTAGTCAAATAGACTGAAGAAACAGCAAAATATTCTCACTACATCTGTTATTTATGCTGAGCACAGCATAATTTGGGCAAAGCTTTGCTGACCTGTGTCATTGCTAAGACAATGTAAACACAAGCTCCTTTGGTAATGGCTGGAAACACTGGATCCTGACTGAGGTACAGGACTTCGGACATAGAAGGCTAAGACCCAAAAATTAAGCATGTGCTCCCTACATCCTTCCTACAACAATAAGAACACTTTCTATCTCAAAAAAATTACTGAAAAACGTATTTGTTTGATTTTTCTAAACTATTTTAGTATAGAAGTGCAACTTTAAGGCTCAGCACAAATTACAAAAAATCCCATTCAGTTCTAAACCAAGGAAAAATGTTTGCTTTAAACAAAGTTATTAAATTTTTAAAAGTCCAAGTTATGTAATTGCTTAATGGTTTTGATTGTCTATCTGCTCTGCTCTGTCATTTCTATTTTTCTCCTCACAGCCTCCTTCATTCTACCCACATCTGTAGGGCATTACCCATAGTGTAACCAATACTCCAGCTGTGGCTGCCCTGCTGCCATAGAGACAGGACGGATCAGTGCAGCAACAGGAACCATCTGTATGTATGACCCAAAATCACTCTGGATTTTTTAACCACCATGCTGCTGTGTTTGTGCTCTCTGCTTTAGTTCAAACAGCCGGGCATGACTACTCTAAACTGTCCCCTGCATGCACCAGAAACAGAGGATTTCATCCCACAGCCAGGAGACACATGCCAACACCTACTGCTTCCTCCCTGCCATGGGAACTGTGCCCCAGCACTCTGAGGGATGCAGGGTGCACCACCAGACTGCCAGAGAAATCCACTCTTCAACTTCCTCCTTGCTCCTAACCTCCACCCTCAAACCTTTGCCTACACCCCTCCTGCATGTTTGTATTTCTGCAAGAAGCAAAGGTCCCGGGGACAGAGGCCGCGCTGTGTAAGTGCCGTGTGTGATCTTTGGCTGGCCGCACAACCTCCCCATTCACAGCCATTCACAGACCGCGCTCACAGCGGCTCACACGCGCTCCGTCTATTTCAGATGTCACACAGAAAGGAGCCTGAGACTTCGCTGCAGGGTCCCGTGGTGAGGGCATGCACAACTTCCTAGCAGACAGCTTGTCCCTATCCTTGGTCCCTGCCACAGGCCTGCAAAACCTTCCCGGATTTCAAGTGTAAATCCTTACTCCTGCAGCTGGAGTCTGAGGTCACTCTGCCTGACACTGGTCTGGCGACTGAAGCAGCATCTGCTTCTATAGTTAAAGTTTCAGTAGCAAAGGACAGCACAAGAAGATATCACCAACAGCACAGCACATCATCCCCAGCAGTTCTCTCTGCATCTGCTCCGTCCACACTCCACTCAAAACCATCACCAGCCTTGACTAGTGGTACCTGTCAGGATGCAGCCTGTGCCCTCTCTTGCCCCTTCGCCAAGCATTCATGTGGCCGATTCCCTCCTCACACTTGTTCCCTGGACTTCATGCTGGAATGGAGTTTAGCGCATCCAACAGGAGCTGCCAGCATGACTCCTCCCCAGATCAGACCGCGTTTCGGCATTAAATTGCAATATGGTATATTCCATCACTTTGCACCTCCTCTCCCGGTCTGACTGACACTGGAGATCAAATCTGCTGCTTTCCGTACTGCTGCCTATCGCCAGCGAGGACTGAGCTGCTCCTACCGTCCTGCTCAAAATCCTCCTCTCATCGCTTTTCTCAACCATTCCTTTCACCTACTTTTAGCACCAGCATTCTTTCAAAGAGTACTTTTTGAACACAGCTCTACTGCCTGACTTACTTTTCCTCAAGAGAACAATTTCAAGATGGAAAACAGCTTCTTTTAACTATCCAATAGTATTCCTTACTAGGCGCTCTCCCGGTGGTTTCTTTTCCACTCCATTCCTGTCATTCCCGTCAGGTCCCACCAGTTGGTTCCCAGTCTGACCAGTCCCTCACTGCCTGCCGAAGCCTCCCCTTCCACAACCCGCGCTCGGCAGCCAGCGCGGGCCGGGGTCCGGCGCTCAGAGGAGCGAGAGGCGCAGCCCGGGACATCCCTTCCTCCCGGCCGAGGGGCTCCCAAGGCCGCCTGTCCCGGGGGACACTGCGAGGGCAGGATGCCGGCATGAGGAGGGAGCATGGCCGCCCCGGAACCTGCCCCAGGAGGAGGAGAGATGGTGGCTGAAATCTATCGTGTCTTAGGTTTCTGGTAGAGGAGATTTGGCACGCCTAGCAGGGCACCAGCTGCTAATTTGACTGCAGCCGGACCTCTCTCCCCCACCTGGGATGCTTGCCGCCGGAGGCAACGAATCTTCCCGGGCACTGGGTCACGGCACTCGGCCCCGAACTCAGGAAGCCTAAAGCATCCCCTTTCCTTCAGCCTCTGTGCAGTGCGAAGACCTGAGGCTTCCCGAGAATCCCGCAGGCCAGGAATGGGCTCTGCCCCTCAGCGAGTGAGGAAACAGCCGATAAAGGCGGGGGGGGGCCTGCTTCTCCCCCCGGAGCTCTGGGCGGCCGAGCCGCGGGACACGTGCTGGATGCTGCTCCCGTCCGAGACGCACAATTGCCTCCGAGGGAGGGAGCCCCAGTGACCGCCCAGGTGCCCGGCTGCCCGCCTCAGCTTTCCCGGGCACGGGAGAGGGTGCAGAGGCTGAGGAAGAACTCGCCCTAGCACCCTCCCGGCTCTCCGTATTTCCCCAAAGATGATCGCCCTACCTCCGCCAGCTTGGAGCTCCTCTCCTTCGGGGTATTGCTGCGCTGTTTCCCCCTCACGGGTAGCCCTCTCACCGCAGCCAGGAAAGTTGTCAGGAAGACGAATCCGAGGATGAGCACGACTTTCCCTCTAATCAGAGGCATCTCTCCCTTCCTCTCTCCCCGCCTCGCACGTCCAGGGCAGGCGGTCTGGCAGCACGCCTGCCCTTAATGCTCCAAATCCTGTCCTCCGAGAGGAACAGTAAGAACTTAAAAATATATGTATCTTATATATAAACCACCGGAGCCGGGAAGTGCGGTGTCCCGCGGGCAGGGGCCGGGGCAGGGTCCGCCGGCCCGGGCCACTCCGCTGCCTCTGATCGCTCTTGCAGTTTGCCGAGCACCTTCCGCTGTCGCGGCTCCCCCGGGTCGCCCGCCGGTACTGATGCTGAAGGATAACTCTGAAAAGCTTCACAAATGTGTGTGGGGAAGGAGGGAGGGAGAGAGCTTGGGTTCCCCACCCCACTTCCTAATCCTTTCGGCAATCCGATTTCTTTTCCTTCTCTTCTCCTCCCCTCTCCGAGTCACTCCCCGGTGCTGCCGCAGCTCTGCAGGCACCGGCGGGCGGACGGGAGGCCGCTCGGCGGGGAGAGGCTCCTGCTCGCATGAAGCCCGGTGCAGCCCCTCCCGCCTTGGACCGCGGCTGCCTGCCCCGGGCACGGCCCCTGCCCCGCTCGGAGGCTGCCGGCACTGCCAGACCTCCCCCCTCTCCCTCCGGGCGCTGCCCCCTCCGGGGCGCCACCGCCCGCTCCGCTCCTCCCCTCCCGGCAGCTGCATGGCCGGGGCCGCCGCCCCTGCACCGGCGGTGCCCGCGGCGCGCTGCCCCCGCGGCGGGCGCGGAGGATGGAGGCGCCCGGCACGGAGGGGCGGGAGCGGGGACGCGGCCGGGCAGGGGGCTCGGAGCCTCCCGCCGCGCCCCCGGGGAAAAGAGCTTGCAAAAGCCGCCCCTTTTCCCCCGTCTCCGAGCGCCAGGGCTGGGGCCGCTCTGCGGGAAGGGGGGACGGGCCCCTCCGCTCCGGAGCCGGCCCGCGACAGGCAGAAATGGGGCTCTGTGCTCCCCGCTGAAAGCCCCGGCTGTTCCCGAATTGCGGGAGAAAATTTCTACCACTCAAAAGAAGTCTTTATTTCATGATCTGCTGTCTTCTGCACCGGCAGCATCTTATCCAGCTCTCAAAGCCTTTTGGAAACATGGAGTGGCTGTTTACTTGGGGTGTAGAGAGTTTTCCAGCATTTCCACAGACGTTCATGAGCCTATGAAGGAAATTAGGGAAAGGACTATGAAAAAAATTAAGGAAGGACACTGAAAGGAGGTTTTGCAGCCTACTGAGGAGAAGTGCCAGTGCTGGCACGGTCCCAGAAAGGGAGACCTAGAAGGGAAAACTCAACATTTCTACAGCAGCCTTAGCACAAAGCTACAAATCACCTGGGCCCATTTGTGTACCCACAGCTAAAATCAGGACCTGCACCTCCTTTTCAAATACCGACATCTGGTTTATGCAGACTTAGGGCTGAAATGAATGGAAGGAAATGTTTAAAACAAGACACAAACTGCAAGACAGATGTGAGGTCAAGAATCCCATGTGAGATGGATCAAGAAGCCCTTTCAAACATCTCATTAGCAGCACAGCAGCTGAGAGCAGCCTGACACTGTTAACAGCACCCAAGGGTAGCAGCCTAGTTTTCAAGCACAGCAGCTTTTTGGGGCCAGCACCGAGCTAGAGCAGGCACTCATCGTGGGAGTGCTGCACATCAGGAACAGCAGCTACGACTGCAGGCGTCTTTCCACAACAGAAGCGGCTTTTCTAGACTGCACATCAAAGCTTTGCTGTACGATGGACCAGAGACTGCCAAAAACCAGCTAAGCATCCATCTCTCATGCAAGGTTTCCTGGCTCTAGAGTACAAGGCTAGAGGGGAACAATGATCTGTCTGAGCTCTGAAACAGGCTGTGGTGTTACCCAGTCATTCCAGTATAAAACTCATGTCTTGAATTTTTTTGAGGTTTTTATTTTGGGGGTGGGTGGGAAAGGGACTGGGAAAGAAGAGAGTTCAGTCTCCTTAATAGGGAAAAGCCTCACTAAGAAAAAAGTGCCAAAATCATGATAGTTTTTTAAAGTCTTTATTATGCAGAACATAGAATATATTTGAATGAATTATTTCCCCAAGCATTCTTTTTTCTCCAGTGCTTTTTTTTTTAACATGCATTGTTACCTTTTTAAAGCCAATGTACCATCCATTTATCTTTTTCCCTGCCCACAAAGCATCCATATTCATGTTAATCACAAGTGTAAAAAAAATTAGACATCTGGCATAAAATATTTTGGGGGGGGGCCCATTTAAAAATTTTATCTAAAATGTCTTTATCTACAAAAAAATCCAATATATATGTACATTATAGCAACACAGAGGCATAAGAATACAGTGCAATTTAAGACGAAGTGCTGTGACTTGGTAATTCTGCCCAGGGCTTGTGGAAATGTGGGCCACCATTGGCTTTGGGGCTGCTAGCCTAAAGCCTCAGGCTCCAGCATTCCTCAGTTCTCTCTCAAGTGGGTCTGAAGTTAATATTGGGAGGCTAGAGATGCATTAAGCTTAATAAACCATTAGGGGGTAGCAGAAATACTGTCTGAATAGGATGAGCTTTGGCAAAAAAAAAAAAAAAAAAAGAATGTTTACAAAGGTCAGATGGCTTGGTGCATGTTTCACCTCACTGCGGGTATTTCTGGAACGGCACCAAGCCTTGGCATATTCACGTGAGACCTGTTCACCTACCGTTGAGGAAATGAATTTGCTAGCTGCCACTGGTTCTGAAGTCCCTGACCGTCTCAGTAAGTCTCCCACTTTCAGCAGCGCAGGAACAAGTTACCAATGGAAGTACACAAGAACTGCTTAAGTTGCACAGGAACATCGGTGCAGAGGACTGCACTACTTTTGGCTCCCCCGTACAGACATCTCCTTAAACAGCTGCTAGCCAGGATCACACACAATTTGAGTTTTGAACCTCTCCCTCCCGAAAAAACAGCAGCACATACTGCTTAACTAAGAGCACCGAGTATTCTTCTGTGGGTTAAAATCCACTGCATTCCTCCAGGTCAGTCTTAATTTTAATTCTTCATACCAAGAATCACAGCTTAAGGCCTTCAACACACACCACAGTCATCATCTGCTTCACCCAGTCCCATTTGGGGATATAAGCACAACAGCTCCAATGTCTGCAACAAATGCTTCTCTTTTCAGTGAAAGGTAAAGCACAATACTTCACACAAGCACTTTATGTTTGTGCTCTAGTATTACGTCTGAATCCTTGAACAGGTGAACAACTGCAAGGCTGGGAATGTTTACAGGAATACAAAGCCATCAGAATGGCATTGGAGATTTTTTTTTTTTTTTCTTTTAAAAGCATGTTGAGGTTATGCAGGTCAAATGACTCGTGCTTTTCCCAAATAGTGGTCCAATTCCACTTGGGTGTCAGGTCCAGCACCAAAGGCAACAATGCACCTGCCGAGGGGTCATACTAAGCATTTCTGAACAGCTCAGCACTTCACTGGTGCTAAAACAGAACAGACTGCAGGTGCCTCAAATCTCCATGCAGAAGGTGCCATCCACACAGATCCCAGCATGCTTGACCCTTTCATAGGCTGAATATAAACTGTAAAAATAATATATAAAAACTGCATACATTCTGACTGAGCATTCTTTATTGGGATACATTTCCACAAGTTTCCTTCTCTGTGATGCAGCAAGGGGGCTCATGCATAGTGCTCCAGATCCAGTGCTGCAAGGTGTTCTCTTAAATGAAGTCATGCTCATGCTTTCTTCCAGCCTCTCCTGTGATCTCCCTGAATGGATAACATGGCTTCTGAACAAGCAAACAGCTGTAGGCCAAATGCTTTTCAGAGGAAAACAAATCAAAATTTGCACAGAAGGAGAAAAAGTACTTATTTGGTGTGGAAAAGTTTTAGAGGAGTGTCCATTCAGGCAATGAAAACTGCTCTCCTGATTTAGGGATACTTGTTCAAGTACACATAAAAGATCCCTGTACACCTGAAAATAAGCAATTACTGACTACCCCTTTTCTCCATCTCTGCAGTATCAGTCCTTCATCCACACAGTACAGAATTGCTGATTTTATGGGCACACTTCCCTTGCCTGTTCTTTGTGAAGGTGCAGCTCTGATAGTGAGTATCACATCTGCACTCTTACAGGAAACAGCAAGAGGAGGATGGATAATGCAATTCCTTCAGATGTTTGCTCAACTCGCTCCTGAGTCTTTGCCTGAAGCAGAAGCATACTACACCCGTAACTCAAGAACCAGAACTGTTCATTAAGGATGCTACTTAGAAGGGAAAAGATAGAGCAACTAGAGTTAAATAAACCATAAACATACAATACAAAAGTTTGTGTTGTGTAAAAAACAAAAATGAAGGCCCTGAATATTCTGACACAAAAAAATTGGTTTCTTCTCTGCCGAAGAACTAAAGGAAAACTATTAATCAGGGTCCTTAAGACAAAGATCTATTTGGGAAAACCAGTTTCTAACAAGAAGCAGATCTCCCACTCTTTGCTGATGCTCGGTAATAGGAGCTTCTCAACTTTCTTACGAGTGAAAGAATATTAGCCTTAAAAACAGTTATGGCTCTAAACTCTTCACTCTGCTCGACAGAGGCAAAAACTTGCTTGCTTAGTTCTTCAGAGAGGTACTGGGAAGGTAACTGTTGTATATTTATGAGTAAGTTTAGCCAATATACAGTACTGAGCAAAATCCTTTGTTCAAAAGCAGCCTTCATTTTCTTTTCAATTTTGCATCTCTTAAGAAATACCAGGAGTCATTTTCAATTAGAATGTCTCTGAAAAGTTGGCAGGGACTGAAGTTTTATTTCTTAAGCAGCTTTTCTTCCTTTGTGATCTCTCAAGATTGGTTCTTTCATTCATTTCTACTGCCAGGAGAAAAAGGAGACAGATTTCTGGTCAGTACATAAATATCAAAGCAGCAATCCATCCTACACTGTGACAGCATACATGCTGTAGGTTTGCCTAGCACAAACTCTTATTGGAGTTGTTTCAGTAGATGCAAAAAGGTTTTCTTGGCTTTCAAGCTCAGCGAATTACTGAATTAAAAGTGTGAAATCCTGGGCTTGTAACTCTTACTTTTTCAGAAGCAGTTTCAACAGGTTTCATAATTTTTACCAAACTTTGGCAAAACAGCTTCTCTTGAACAAAAGGCCTCAGAGAGGAGTGGGGGGATTTGCTTTCCAAAAAGGATATGGCAAGGCTGAAATGTAACCAAGTACTTTGCAAATGCTAACTGCCAGAATTATTTCTGAAGTGCATTTGCAACTCAAAATTCAAAGTTATATGCAGACAGCGTGACACAGCAGACACATACTAAAAGGCAGAAGCTTGAACACAATTTCCTCAACAAATGCAACTAGAAACCAAATGGACACTAGTAATTTTTGAACACTGACTATTTCAGAAGTATTATAGAGGATTTATCTATATTATGAAGATTTTTCCAGATGCTTTTCTCCCTTCCAAAGCTGCTCTAAAACTGATTCCCAGAGACAAGGTTAAGATTCAACACTTGTAAAATCTATGATAACCCACTTCTAACTTAATGCATCACAGTTTCCAAACTGAGTCAGCTGCACAGCAGACAAACACACTGTGCATTTGTGAATGCTTAAAAACAGCTACCTACTGATCCAAGCCTTTAGATTGATCGGTTTTGTCTGCTCTTAAGCCATTTCATGATCA